TTTTTTGGTTGTACAGTCAACAGGGTGGCAGTGCGTGTTAGCACAGCTAATATTGGGTTTATTTTTGTCGTTTTCTTTATAAAGCTTGATCTAGGATTTATTGATGCCATTCATTTTAACCCTGAATTATCTCAAATATCCTTGCTGGTGAACTCAAGACCTTGCGAAGCTTGTCAGCTGCTTGCAAGGTGCGAAACATGACGTTCAGAAGTGTTGGAAACGTCTAGTACAGCCTGGAAGCCCACCAGCTGCTTAGGTTACTGGTGTAATCCGTGTGGGAAGGTCTGTGGGACTTGCACGATAACTGCATTCTGAAATCACAGATATGGATATATGCAGAAATGTAGATTCCAGGTTTGTATGTGCAAATCTGACACACGCCCTGACTCAGTTTGCTGAGTTATTGATGTCAGCACTGGTGTGTCGAATATTGCTTGTATCTCCCTCCCACCCAACTCTATGTTATTCCCAGATATGGACACACTTTCCTCTCCATCAAACAACCATTAGGAATGACAGCAACATCTTGCACCAATAAAAGCAGTCAGCAAAACCCATTCCTGGAAAAACCGTCTCCTCTTCTGAATATTTGATCCTTCTCCGTGTTTCTAACCAGGGGACACATATCAGTCTGTTGGAAATTGGGGGTAAAATGATGACAGTGGTGGGTGTCCATTTAGCAGCAGGAGGGCTGCAGATCATTGTAAAGGACCATGAGGAGGATAGGAAAAAACTAGAGGCCATTGAAGAAATCCAATACAAAAAACAACTGAGGTGAGGGGGTGAGGAATTTGACCTGAACAGATAAAACAATGAATCTACTGACTTACCCCCATAAACCTGAGTGGATGTTACTGTACATTAAAAATATATTTTAATATACAGTATGTCTTAAAAAAAGAGGGCCCTGTTGTGCTCATTTGAGGTTCATATTTGTATTTTGTGTTTCTACTGTGACATGTTTACGTGTCTCATGCTGCCTGTGCTGCAGCACCTCTTTTCACCCTCCGTCTGAAACCAGAGCCCAGTCTGCTCTGATTGGTTAGCTGGCCGGCTCTGTTGTGATTGGTCAACCGCTTAGAGATGTCCCGCCCCTTAGCCTATCATTTCAATGTGTTTGGAGCGCTAGCCAATAAAAGCACGAGTGTAACATAGTGATGTCATTATGTTACATAATTAAGCAAAGGAGTCCAATGGAGGCGTTTCAGGGGGGAATTGACCTTTGCAGATCATTTACACAAAACCTATATTACACACTGCAGGGAAGGGAAAACCCCAAAAGCATAATAGGGCCCCTTAATAAAAAGTGATAGACTTTTGCAAGATCCCATGAGGAGACAAACTAAATAATGCAAATTCAGATTGTTATTACAAATCTTGAGTGAGGATGCTTACTTCCAATGTGATAACAGTGTTAGTTATATATTTCAAATGTGTTTCTAACCACCGGTCCAGCGTGCATGGCATGCATGTGTCAAACAGAACACACCCTTCTTACTGTAGGTCTCAATGGAAACAGAAACCCTGAACAACCAATAGAAACTCACAAACACTCATTAAAGGTGAATCTAAATCTATTACCATCAACCAAAATAAACCATGTGCCTGCCTTGCTGCTTCACTGATTGTAGGTGCTTTTAAATCATAGCACCGACCAGTGGCAGCCACCCTCCTTCTGAGTCAGCATCGATATCTGCACAACAATCAGAAGTGTCGAGTTATTTCCCCGTGACCGTGACATATCATCTCCTGAAATGGAAACATAGATATATTCCAAACTAATGGTTCACCTGGGTTCAAATGCAGAGAGTTACTGTTGGTGCCACTTTATGTTTTGATCAGATATGCTTCTGAAAAAAAGAATTATAGCTTTCAGCAGATATACAACTATTTATGAGCAGGGAGGCAGATCTCTTCGGATTACATTTCGCTACATCTGGCAGAGCGTTCCCCCGTAATCTGTAATTTCTCTTTCAGGAATATCTGATGTAATGTATACCTGCTAACACACTGCTGTCATCTAGCTAATCTAGAGGAGCTGTCTCACATCGTTCATGCAGGGGCAAGAAACAAAGAGTTTTTCTACAAGCTGAAGTTTTATAATCGACTTTGAATCATGGTTTTACTGTATATTTAGACAAGCACTCTGGAGCTGTTGAAAGCTCCCTCCCTCCTTCCCAGCCATCCTCCCCTCTCTTTCCTTTTCACACTTGTACTTACCCGCTGTACAACAACCACTCTCAGACAACAGCTTACTCAGACTGTTGACAGACATCTGAGGAATTAATCCCCAAATGGACTTGTCAGCTCCTATATCTGTCTCACCTGATATTACCAAAACAAAAAATATAGATCATTTAAACTTGTGTATATTAGTCTACCAAAGCTCCTTAAATGCATATTCATTCTGCATCGCTGTCATTTGTTACATGTTATTCCCCAGGAGGAACAATTAAGAATATTGTAAAGTTGCATACACCTGCAACTCCTGACAATTATGGGGTTATTATGACATATACTAAAACATTGCATAACCGTAACAAAAGTAGAGTAGTCAGTGAACTGACTAACAGCTGTTCTCTCCCACACACTCCCCCCTGCCTGAAGCATCCATTGGACTTCTTTGTTTACTTCAGTAACATAGTGAAATCACTATCTAACACACGCTTCTATTGGCTAGCGCTCCAACACATTGTACATCTATAAGCGGTTCACCAATCACAACATAACTTGCAAGCTAACCAATCAGAGCAGACTTGGCTCTGGTTTCAGACAGAGGGTGAAAAGAGGTGCTGCAGGCAATATGAGAAAAATAAAGAGCTTTTATAACATCAAAGCATGTAAAATGTCACAGTAGAGGCATGTAACGGAGGTGATCTCTGGGGCCATAGATCTCGGCCTCCGTTACGGATTGTGTAACTTTGTTGGTGGCGAAATGTAGGTAGTGTGTGCATCTGTATGTGTTTTAGTTTGTCTGTCTCTGTTTGCTGGTTTTATGTCAAGTGTTCCCTTTCCCCATGTCTGTGGCTGTTGATTGTGTGCACCTGGTGCCCTGTGTTGTCTCCTCCCCCCCCCCACCTGTGTCTAATTGCTGATTAGTGTGTGTATTTAGTCCCTGTTGCCCTGTCTGTTTGGAGGCTGGTAGTGTGTGGGAGATCCCTGTGGTTGATGACGGTGTGCACATGTTCAGCAGGATTGAGGCTGTGTGTCATGTGTTCATGAGTTAATAAATGCCCACACCGGGTTGTATTTGGACGTTCTGCCTCTGCCTCCTTGATTGGTCGGGCCGCTCAATTGTCAGCTTCACAAGGCACAAAATACAAATATGAAACCATGCACAGAGACAGACACTAGATCAGATATCAGGTCACAAACCAGCTTGTAATGACGGTAGAAGGTGTGTAATCACAATTAAGCAAGAACTTGATGATCCGAGACTGGATTTAAAATGATGACAAGCAGGCATGGCATGTATTAGGCATTTTATTTCCTTCCGATCATTGCTTATCTGACCTCATACATAAATCATGCTTTTCATATGGCAGCTGCAACCCCTGCTTATACAATCTATGTAGATATGACATACACATAAATAAATGTATTCACAGAACAGGAAATGTGTTTCCAGACGGTTCATTTTAAGGTGATACTGAAAAGTAATTCATGATGATTTATGGTCAAAATATTTACATTCACATAAAGAAAAAGTAAAATAAATATTTGCATATGAAATTAAGCATATATGACACTTTTTACTTTGTTACACACTTCGATACATGTTCAATTACATGGAACATTTGTAAAATAAAATAAAAATACACTTAAATATCATAATCCCTTCATTTTGACACCTGAGAACTGTATTTTGCTGAACTCAATTCTGACATTCACATAAGAAGTGCATTTATCCGTTGCAACTGTCAGTAAGACACATCATGTTTACCTGTGTCTTTAAAGATAATTCTGACTTGTATAGAAGCACATTTAGCCCGTGAAATTCCCTTTTGCTGAAGTGTTCACATTTTCATGTACATGTACAGTAAGGCACTGAAATAGCACCAAAAAAGCTTGTGTAAGCAATTATGGCTTCTTGATCAGTTGTACATAAGCATGTCTAAAATATCTACCATAAACAGTGAAGTAAGGAAGCCTTGAGAGGCAAACTAAATCTGTTAATCAATTTTCTAAGCCTGTTCTAAATTATTTTTAGCACCTTAAACAGGTACAAAAAGCCATCTTGCTAAATGTTCTTAATCCACCCTCACCCATATGTGATGATAAGGTAACTTGCCTCTCAGGGCTTCCATATAAAAAGACTTGGCGACTAATTTATATTCATTTTATCTTCTCGACTGTCTAAATTATTTCCGTGTCCTTTAATTGTTCAGCTAACATTTATAAAATCAGCTCACAAAACTGCATAAACCTTGTTAAAGAGATACGAAAAAACATTTATATACAGAAAAAGTACCCTGATATTGTCAGATAAACAACACGTGAGAATGCTCAGTCGCATATCAGTATGTACAGTTTAAACAGACTCTTAAAAACAAAGACGGAGGGAAGAATGTGAGGTATGGAAGGCAATGGTTTACAGGCAGCATCTGGACAGAGGTTTCGCTGTGGGCTCAGCTGTCTCTGAGGTGTCTCCAGGGCCGACCAGTGCATTATACCTCTGGAGTATCTATACTGGAATTGTATTGGCCTGAAGTGAAGTCTTTAAAACTCTCCTGATAAGATAACCTGTCTGCTCTGTGGAAGCTAAAGGCTAATGGCTCTCCCCGGTCACTGCACGCTATACCTGAGAGATATGCACCAACACAGAGGAATGTGGTTCTCTCTGATGTCTGGCAGCAGAATCTCTACAGATCTTGTATCCTACAACCTTCTCCTTATGATCCAGTAATGTATTTGTGTGCGTACAGTGTGTTTGTGTACTGGTAAACATCTCTCTTACTCCCTAGCTCTCGCCTGTAAATCCCAACCCTTTCTCGACATACACACACACTTCATTCTAGACACATACGTTGTTATTATTATATCCTTCAACGACTCCTGCTGTCCTCCCACTGCCAAGAGGTTGCAGCTGTGATAGTTTACAACTGAATTAATCTGAATCAAGACATAATCAGAATGGTACTGATGCTAATGTTTGGATAGCAGAAAGGTTCATTCATTCTATTTTACTGAAAAATAGAATACACTATGCCATTAATGAGCAGAAAACTGTTCCATCCTACATCCTACATTTAAAAAGGGACAATGAGTAGAATTTTCCTCAGAAAACAAAGTGGTTTGCGTCTCCAAAAA